TATTAACTCACTCTTGTTATAGTGAACTCTAGATATAGTGAAGAATTTGCATGACGGAATTATTAAATTCAACTCGATATAGTAAGTACATATAGCTATTAGCTCAGTAAAGATTTATTTGTTCAGCCAAACGACTTCACTATAGCAAGAGTGAATTGTATTAAGAAAGAACATGTGTTGTTATGTCCCATACACGTCAGATTGTTACTGTTGAAGAGATAAATATCATCGTTTTGTGTATTATTGAATATTATCATAAAATGGAAAGCTTTAATTTCGATGATAACATATACAACTCTAATTGAAATTTTAAATAATTTAATCTAAATTCATTGTAATTCTTCGCTTCACTCTGTAAAAATTATTCAAAGTTTATAATCTAGCCAATCAATTTCTCTAGATTATTAAAGTTATCAATTGTGTCCTGAACACATCATATTGTGTGTGTCTTCTTGGAAGCATTAATACTCTTTACTTGTCCGGAACACACCGTAAAGTTAAAAAAAAATTAAAATTTATTATGGAGATCCCTTTTGAAGCTTTTCTTCTAATCTTTAAATCTTTTTCGACCCATTTCATTTTATGAAGAATCTTCATTAGTTTACTATTATTTGATTTTCTTCGAATTTTGTTGGTTATCTTGATCGTTAATTCCAGACTTCCTTTTATTTCCTTTTACCCAGTTTTTTATGTATAAAAAAATAACCGAAATTAAAAATCAAATAATCATTTAACAATTTATAACTTTATCTTACCTTCAGTATTGCATTCTAATATTTTACTACTTGAAGTATTAAGAATTTCTTCTAATAATTTTGTAGTAATTGGTTTATTTGTTTCCACATTTAATGCCTAATTAAAATAAAATTTTAATTTAATTTATATCAATAATATTATATTTTTATATATTGTATTTATATTTACCTTTGCTAATTTTACAGCGTTTTTAATATCTCTTCCATTTAAATGTTTTTTGCTTAATTTTTTAATATCTACATTATTAGAGTCACAATTCATCAATTCCAAAAATGTACTCCATAATTTTTCACGTGCTATAGATGTAAAAAAAATTATAATTTAATGCGTTATATTGAAATTTATTATTAATTTAATATATTGTTTATAATAAAAGGTGATTTACCTTCAGTATGCAGTTCCTCATATTTCAAAAAAACTGTAATACGAGATTGGAAAGCATCATCAAGGCAATTTACTGTAGAATAAGAATATATTAAGCACTAGGATAAACTTTTAAAGGTATTTTTTCTAGAATAAGAATATATTAAGCACTAGGATAAACTTTTAAAGGTATTTTTTCTAGAAGTTCCTACCTCGATTTGTTGTTAATCAAGTAATCTTAAAAATACACATACTAAAGCATTACGTTCAACTTCATGTGCAGTTCGACGTTCAAGGAAAATTTCAGCTATTATATAATTATCATAAAATAGTTAAGGTAAAATACAAATCAATTGATATATCAATAAATATTTTACCTTCATCAATCAAAATAATAGCATTCCAAGCAAGTGCCCTCTTAAAAATAATCATTAAATTTTTTTCTAAATCTCTTGCATTTGTTCCTAATTCTCCAACAGTAACAAAATATAATGGACGATGAAGCATTTCAGCAATTGCTTCAACGGTTAATGTTTTTCCAACTGTTAAAGATAATTATTGTTAAATACATATGATTTATTATCATAAAGCAAGAAAGATAGTTAAAAATAGCAAACCTCCAGGAGGACCATATAACAAAAAGGTACAACCATCGCCTTTACCACTAACAAGATCTATCATATTCGAATTTTACAAGACTTTTAATTAGATCTTTTCTTGTTGGATCAAGAATAAGTTGATTAAATGCTTCATCATCAAATGATATTTCTAAAATTAAAAAAATGTAAGAATTAATACAAAAAAAAAATAAAGTAAAAGAACTAGTTTTAAGATTTTACCATTTAAAAGTTCAACATTAATATAATGCCATGTTTTCTGCGCAAAATTAAATGCAGGAAGGGTAGGTACACACATGAAGAGTTCTTCTTCTTTAACATTATCTATTTTTTTATCATCATCTTCATATTCATATTCACCTTTATACTTATTATATAAGTTTAGATGGACATGTCCTGCATCTATATATCTGCAAATATCAACCATAACACGATCTTTATTATGTTTACTAGATTTCTGAAGGAAATGATAACTTATTGCGTATTTTACAAACTGTTTTCCACGTTCTACTAATTCGTTGTAAATTTTATCTCCTGTTGATAATGGAATAACTGGAAGCCTATTGATTTGACGTAAGCCTTTCCAGTCATAAATGTTATATAGCTTTTTTGTACGAACAAGTGAGAAACCATCTATAAAATCAAAATAATTAAAGGATTAAGAGACAAGATTTAACAAATATCGATAAAAAAAATAATAGTGAAAAACCTGAGTCAATTGCTTTAACACAAATTTTAAAAACGGCTACATCACGATTGTATAACGGATGCCTCACGGTTTCCCTACCCAAGTATGTTTCAGTAACTTCTGCTCCGGTTGTAGCTCCACTGTGGTTAATACACACATATTGACCTTAAATACATGTAATAAATTAACATAATTATCTGTATTAAAGTATATGAAATACAAAAAACACACCCCTTGGGAACAATTGGGCTAGATTTTTAAAATCAATCAATCCCTAAAGAATAATTGGAGAATTGATAATTTTATTACACAAAAAATCCATTCAAGAAAAGTTATGTTACTTTGAATTTACCACTTCAATTATTTTCTGGATTAAATTGATTTCACTTTCATACTCTTTTTCGATCCAATTAATCAAATCATGAAATTGAGATTCATGATTTATTTTAAGGCTTTTCAGAATGGAGAATAATTCCTTTACTGAAAGCTATTTTATCATTGAAACATATAAATATTAGAAAGCATTTATATAATTATGCAATTATTTTATACATACAACCGGATCCACGAACAGGTTTTTATCTTGAAAGTAATTTTGCATAATTAATATGTAATTAAGGTCCGTAAAATGAACATATTTTATGTCATTTCTTTCTACAAGTGAGTAACCAAAATTATTTCCTTCAAATGAATTAAGATTATAATTATAATTTGTCGAAGTCATAGTTATATGTAAGTATGGGTTTGCGATCAAACTCAAAATTGAGACGTTGCTCATAAGTAGTCTGTTGAATATACATATATATAGCTGATAGGTATTTAGTAAAGTAGTACTGTACGGCAGTACAAATTTGGACGGACATACGAAAATTATACCAAATTTTGATCG